CCGTGGCCCGCGGGCGGCCCGAATCCCGCCCATGGCCCGAGGTGGGCTTGGCCCGTTAAGGCCCAAGCCCAGCCTGAGGCCTTGCGCCATCGTTTTGAAACCCGGCTTAACCCATGAGATTGGCCCACTTGGCCCGCTCAAGACTCGCCCAAAAGCCTGACCTGCCCGGCCCACATGAAGTCCAGTGTTATTTTTAATGGAAAATAATAAAATTTTGGTGAAAAAATTAAAAAAAATTAAAAAAATTGTTTAGGTCCGCCCAAACCCAGGGGTCTAGCTCAAGGCCCACCCCACTGGCCCGCCCAAAACCTGAATACCCCCGAGCCTAGTTTTCTGACTTGTGTGTCAGCCCACCCTGACCCGATTTTTTGGCGGGAGCTCGCAAACCTGACACGACCGAGTCCGGATGGGCCGAACCGGGCCAAAATTACACCCCTTGGTATAGTGAAATTTACCTTTTTTATTTTTGTAAATAACAAAAGAATCACTTGAAAAGTATTTGTTAAACAAATTAAGCAGAAAAAAAAAATCACAAGAAGCTCGCTTGTACATAGAAGTCTTGACATGGGTAAAATAGGTAAATCACGGAAAATAAAATTCTAGGGTTCTTACGACCTTCACCTTCTTCTGAGCTCCAAGGAACTAGGGTTTGGTTTGTGCCAACTTCATCTTCACCAGAGAAGCTCTCAAAACCTGAAAAACAAAAATGGTACTCTCTATTTCCACCCCCCGTCTCTCTCCCTCTCTCTCTCTCTCTCTCTCTCTCTCTCTCTGTATATATGTATATATTTGAGATCTCTATTTCTCGATCTAATGTTCAACAACTTCATATCTTTTTTTCGATTGAATTCATCAATTTTAAGCTAATTTGTGTGCTTCATTTCAAATTTTAATTTTTCTTCTCGATTAATGTAAAGTGTTTTTGTTTATATATAAGTTGATTCAATGTTAAGTTAGTGTTAGGATTCTTTCATTTGAAGTTTGGTTGCTGATTTTGGAGCATTTTGTATGCATATGTCTATTTGTTTGTGTGTGTGCGCGCGTGTTTTTACACCTCTATATCTGTATGTGTTAGTGAAGCTTTGTGTTTGTGTTTGTGTTTGTTTGGGCTGAAAATATTTTTGAAGAGAATTTTGGGGTTCGTTTCTTCTTTTTCTTGTTGATCCGGGAAGTACAAATTCTTAGGACTTCTTTCGTACAAACAAGCAGACATTTTTGCAATTTATCTTCTAAATTAATGGAATTTGTATCATATGTCATATGCTATTTTTCGTCTCTTTAATTTTAGAACCTGTTTTAATTTTCTTGAGAAAAAGTATTTTCAGTGATAATTACTCTGGATTAGCCTACCTCGATAGAAATACAATTCACTTTAACTGAATTTTTAACTTTTACTTTAGATTTGTCCAATATTGAGTTGCTAAGTTGCTTTAGGGATTAACCAAGTTCAGAACAATTCCTTTTAGACCTTCTATCATTATTGCGTTTACAGTTAGTGTCTTCCAACTGTTTGGACACTCAAAAAAGTTTTTATTTCTAGAAAATTTTCTACTTTTTGTTATGGTGCGTCTTTGTCTAGAAAATTAATCTGTTACTAACGAACAGTCTCTGCAGGATTCATATTGCAGTTTTGTATGATGGTTCTCTTTGTGCTCAAACCAGTTATTAATTTGCACCCTTAAAACTAGTTTTTGATGCAATTGAAGTTTCACATTTTCTGCGATAGTCGGGTCCAGCGTTTGGCTAGAAAATTATTCTGTGATTTGGTTAGCCCAGATTTGTAGCTGATGCTTTTGCAAAATGTCACCAAAATATGAGCTAGACCATTATGAGATTTGTTCTGTGAGGTATCTGCATGGAGCTGTAAGTAGTGTTAGATCAAGTTGCAAATGATTGGCTCTTAGGTTCTTTTATTTTTCTGTTGTGTTGTACAGTTTTCATTACTATATCCATGTAAACTGAGCTCTTTTTGTTTCCATTGTACATAGGAAAAAAATTTAGGTGTTTTTCTTTATTAATATTACTTATAAAGAAAATAAGTTAGTTGCACTGTTAGTAACAATTTGTTTGGGATGTGAGTTGGCTTTTTGACTTTTTGGCTATTTTACCCTGGGGCTAAAAAGTCTCATTTGGGATAGGGTCTTTGGCTTTTTTGACTTTTGTGAAAGATAAAATAAAATAATTATGGTTTGAATATGACATTTTGTCCTATTGGACTAAAAAACCTATTTTGTCTTTTTGTGGCTATTTTAGCCAAAAAGCCCCATTTTAGCTTATGCCAAACGAAGGCTAAGTGGTAAATAATTTGGATTCCACTATTTTAGAATCATTCTAGTTTAGTAGGATAAGAAGTTTTCTTTATCATGCAAGAAAGGAGAATTTGCTAGGGTATTTTGCAACAGCCACATTCTGTATTGCCCATTTTGAAGTTTCCTGATGACTATCATTGTTCATGAATTAAATCTTGACCCCTTCTTTGCATAAAGTTCTTGAATTTTTCCAAGAAGTCATAATTTGCTCATGGCCGGTAGTTCATATATATATATATATATATATGTGTGTGTGTATGTATATTTTCACTATCAATGTGAAGAGTTTTGTAGTAAGGTTAACATTACTAAGTTTATAAATTTTATAGAAGTTCTTGTGTGTTTTGACTGGAAGAGATTATGTTCAATCTTAAAATAACTTTTACATCAAAACAAATTCTTGCTGCTTTTAGGAGCAGCTGGTTTGTAGTTTGTTTATCATTGTATATCCCAATTTTAATCAATATTTGGAAGCTCAGATATTACATTTGTTTACTGATTTTGCTTTATTTTGGATGTCTTTTTCTTGCTAACTCTCTCTCTCCATCTGTCTTTTCAATACACAGCCGAAGCAAATCCATGAGATCAAGGACTTCCTTCTAACTGCGAGAAGGAAGGATGCACGTTCTGTGAAAATCAAGAGGAGCAAAGATGTTGTCAAGTTCAAGGTTCGTTGTTCCAGGTACCTCTACACACTCTGTGTGTTTGACTCAGAGAAGGCTGACAAGTTGAAGCAATCCCTTCCTCCAGGTTAGTTTTTAATTATATTTAAATTAATTGTATTTCTCTCTGTAATTATGTGATATGATATACTGTCTTATTGATGACCATTTTGTTTGTTCATGGCGTGTTGCACATTCAGTGAGATACATTTATGTTTTTCGCTTCTCAACTGAAGTAAAAAAATTCAGGGAAAATGGCCCTAGCTAGGACTGGATTGATGTTTCAGATAATGTTAAAACTATTATTTGAACAGTGTGAACTCATCTAAATTGCTGGCCATAACCACAAGTGCTTATCTATCATAAACAATTGAAATAAAAACTAAAGAGTTGATCACAACTATGAAATTGCTTGAACAGTGACGCATATAAAAAAGATTGTACATGCTTCAAACTCAAAGTAACAAAGAGGTTTATTGGATTCTCCATGTTTCTCTAATTATCTCATATGTTTTCTTGGAACTGCGGGCTATCTTTGTGCCTATCATATATTATCTCTTTTTTGTCTATGGACTGCAGGTCAATTAATTTAGCCTCCTTATTTATTTGGTCATAATTTTGCAGGTTTGAGTGTGCAAGACCTGTGAAGCAAGCTCAGACTGAGTTCAGAGAGTACCAATTTGAGACCTTTTTTTTTAGTGTTGCTTGCAATATTGGAAAAAAAAAATGTTTTGTGATGGTTTTGTATTTTCTTCATACAACTTAACTGCTAAGCTGTGTTTTATTTTACCAGCTCTGGATATGTTGACCTGGTTCTTCCGTGTTGCTGCAAATTTTTTTTTATTTTTTTTTATTGCTTAGGGTTGAAGTCTTATTTTATGGTTGTTTGTTTTTTTGAAATGAGGAAAAATTCCTAAGGCTAATACTAAAATATAGGGTTAATTACAATTTACCCCATGTGGGTTGGCCTTAAAATGCATAACCTCTTTGTGGTTCAGAGTAAAATACAAAATTAATGCAATCTATTTATGTTTGATGAATTTAGCATATGAAACTTATTCCTCCATCACGGTGTCCTCCCCTTGCTCACATCTCTTCACACTCTCTCTTGTTACACTTCACTCCAGACACATCCAGCACCCTTCTCTCTGTTTCCTTGTTTTTCTTTCATGGATGCCCTAGGAGCCAAAACAAGTTGCGCCACAACCTATGGCACATATGGACAAAGCAAGCTCACCTTTAAATCCAGGTAGCTGCTTTACGAATCTGGTGTTTGGAGGAAAAAGAAAATGCGGTATGTATATAAATTTTCTTTTAGAAATTTTAAATTCAAAAACAGTTTAAAAAAATTGCAATTGATGAAGTCAGATCGAGCTGATTGATTGTACCTTAGCCTGTGGGTCCTGAAGCACGGTTAGAACATCCAGACTGATATCTCATTTTGATGGCTTCAGCCCCTAAAAGGGAAACATGGTCAATCTAGATCTAATACGTTTTTTTTTTTTTTTTTTTTTTAGGGACTTGTAAACATAAACAAGCATCATTTAGTAGTGGGGAGGAGATGGGCATAAGGTGTCTAATGATCTAAAACTGCGATGCTCAAAGTCAAACCCAATTTGTTTAATGAATGGGTGTCTAATCAAATCCGAGCGATTAATACCATGGAAGTTCTAAGTAGCAAAATTTCATTATTTTTTCGAATAGTACTATATACATCAATTATTGTATTAACAGATGATGTGGTATAATTTTATAAGTTTTGAGTATTTATAATTTGTATAATGAGTCAGATCAGTAATAATGTTATTACATATGTTGGTACCCTAATTAATAATTGATATACTAATTGGTACATATAGTAACACCGTATTTTTCGTTTGAAAAATTAAGTCAAAAGCATCATTTTTTGTTTGTAAAAAATGTTCATATAATCAAACAGAACACCATTGCATGTCCCATAAAAAAAGGAAAAATTTACAATAAGTTCTTCCATTCAAAAAGTTATCCGATATGTCTGGAGCCCACGAAAATGGAGCCCAACAAGCTTTTTGTAATGGGCCTGGGCAGGCCTGCCTCTCAGGAGCCAACCAGCAGGGTTCATGAGTCGGCCCATGGGTTTAGCCCATCCATCTCACAGGTGATGATGTTGGTACATAAAATTTTGACAGGGGTAAAATACGCAAATAAAATATATGAAATTTTAGGGTTGAATGAGATTGAGCCCATGCTCTGTACATACATATAGACTATAGTCCTGCAGTTCTGCTTCCTCTTCCGAGGTTACAGGCGGGGTTTGGATCGTCCCAACTTCAACGACGAGAGACCTCAAACCCTAAAAAACCAAAATGGTACTCTCTCTCTCTCTCTCTACTTTTATGTAGCTATAACCCAATTAAGTTGGTTCATGCATTCTTTCGTTAATTGGTTCGTTTTGTAGTCAAGCTAAGATTACTAGTGCTGTTTTTTTTCTTTGAATTGTAATTGAAACATAAAAATAAAATCTTTGCTGCTTTTGGGGAAGGTGGTTTGTTCATCATTATTATATATATCCTGATTTTAATGAATATTTGGGGGACTCAGATTTTACATTTATTTGCTGATTATGGTTTTATTTATTTGAATCTTTATATATGACAGCCTAAGCAAATCCATGAGATCAAGGACTTCCTTCTAACTGCCAGAAGGAAGGATGCACGTTCTGTGAAAATCAAGAGGAGCAAAGATGTTGTCAAGTTCAAGGTTCGTTGTGCCAGGTACCTCTACACACTTTGTGTGTTTGATTCTGAGAAGGCTGACAAGTTGAAGCAATCCCTTCCTCCAGGTTAGTTTTTAAATTAATAAATTGCATTTCTTTCACTAATTATGTGATATGATTGCCTTGTTGATGATGACCAATGGGTGTTTTTTTCTTTGTGAAAGTTTAGATAATGTCAAAATAACATTTGAACAGTTATTTCAATTGTTGCGGATAATTCTAAGTGCTAATTGGAAACAATTGAAATAAGAACTAAAGAACTGATCACAAGTGTTTATTGTAAACAATTAAAATCAAAATTAAAGAAATGATCTATATTACGAAATTGCTTGAACTATGCATGTCAAAATGATTATTATGTCCATGCTTCAAACCCTATATAACAAAGTCCCTTTTTTGCCACATGTATTTGAGGCCTTTTCTTTTTTCTTTTTTCTTTTTTCTTTTTACTTTTCCATTTAATATATGTACATTTTGTTTTGTCATTTGTTACCCCTGAAGGAAAAAAGAAAAATTGAACACCTTTAGTTGCTTGGATTGTCATCTGGGGCAGTACCCCATTTATTTGATGGTGTTCATTTAAACACCCTTGATTTTTTTTTTCTTTGGGCAAATTTTACGTTACCACCTTGTGTTTAGCTCGGGTGTAGATGACTCCTTTGTCAATTAAAAATAAGCACTTTACCCCTGTGGTTTGTGAACCCCAAAGTGCATTATTAACTTCTATTGACATCCCTTATAAATCACCTAAATACCTTCATCTTCTTCCTCTAAACTAAACCCTAATATATATATATGTATGTCTATACAAATCAACTAACAATCACCATCATACCCTTCCCTGCCACCGCTACTTCCCTGCCGATCCCTAACCCAGCCAGCTGCAGCCCATTACCTCTATTTGGGTTTGCAAATTATGGCAGACAAAACCCGAATTCACCGGGCTTCTCACTAGGTGTCTCTCTTCTAGTGAAATGGAGCTTTCAGAGGACTATACTTGTGTGATTTCCCACAGCCCAAATCTGAGAACAGCCTATATATTTGACAATTGCATAGTTGAGAGTTGTTGGATCTCTGCTGCGAGAAAGGAAATTGGTTTTTATGGTAATCTAATCAATGAGCTATCCATCTGAGTGTTTTCTCAACTTCAATTACGCTTGCAAGGTTGTTGGAGAAGGGAATGGAAAAATGTCATGTGATGATTGTGGAGAAATGGTTTAGAAATACTCTTGGATCCTGAAGGACGTTCCTGATCCTCAGAATGCCACCTGAAAAATGGATTAACACTCTGGTCGGGGGTGCCGGAATTAGCACTCCGACGGACAAGTTAGTATATATTCTCTCATTTGTTTGTGTCTTAAGTTTCTTTAATCTGTTCTCACATACCTCTCTTTGGTTGATGCTCCTCTCATTTGTATTCGTCCCTGATCTCGGGAGTTGGGCCCACTTTTAATCCAGCGCATAACTGCTCACTCGGCCATTCTGTCGTGTGCCTATTCGCACTCGACTTCTTGTACGGCTGATTCTATGGCCAATTTAGTTATTCGGCTTTAGGATCCCCCAGGACGGAGCCGAATAGTTTATATCCTGATTGTCTTCAAATTCATTTGGCTTTCCTACATATAAGAGTATTCGGCTCCCACAATTACCTTCCCAAACATCCTACCAATACCAGTTAGTCGGCATGTTTGGTCTTGAACTTGGAGAGTCAAAAATACGGCGGTTCCCCTCATTCCAACACAAACGTTAGAACGCCTACGCTTTTTAGGAATCATTATAATTTCCAGCCTCTTCGTATGCTTCATTCATTTAATGCGATTTGAAATTGTGTTGTCCCTTCAAATGTATGTTTTTTGAATACGCAAAGCTTCTTGGTTGCCTAGTAGTATACCTCCCTCATTGTCCTCTCTACTCCTTGTAAATTCTCATTTTCTCCATTTCGACTTCCATTTCCTTATTTGTTTTTAGTTTAGCGTACTTCCTATACTGGCCAGGATGGCAAAACATTTGAAAGCCCTTCTTTCTGCGGATTGAGTTTCTAGTTTTCGACGCCATTTTTCCTTTCCTGACGACGTCCATCTGTCACTCATGGCAGAGAGCGTAGTTGACATAGAGAGGATTGATGAGAGTACAATCATCTTTCCTCTCCTGTCAATCGCTGAGGGCGGAGTCCGTTTCCCCCTTCACCCGTTTTTGAGGGTCATCCTTCGCCACTGGGGTCTAATCCCTTCTCAGCCTAATGTAAACTTTTACCAAATCATAATGGGAATTGTAGAATTAAATCGACGCCTTAGGCTCAATCTTGGAATCCCTACTATTCGGCATTGTTATGCCTTGGCCAAATCCTCTGGCTGACAGGATCCTCTGGCTGACAGGAGCGCTACATTTTTAGGGCTAAGGACACCGACCATCATTTGGTGACTATTCTTGCCAGCTCTGGCAAGCGTGTTGACGATGTCATGGTCGTTATCCGAGGCAACTAGGAATACGGCAAGGACGAAGATCGCCTAGATCCTATGCCTAGACGAAAAGGCGAACTAGGTGGCCGTATAGTCCCCCATTTGTATTTGTTATATATTTACTCGACTTAGATTTTATCCACTTACCGTTTCATTTACGCAAGTAACGATTTGGAAAAAGTTCTCGTCTCGGCCGACGACATTGTACTTGCCCAAATCAAAACCGCACTCCAGTTCTTCAGCCGTCTAAACCTCCAAAAGCAAGGGAGGGCGGCCCACATACTTTTGAGATACGAGCCAACTTACGCTATGTTTTCGGCTACCGATCACATTCTGATTCCAAAGGGCGAACAGCAGCTTACGGCGCTTGTTTTCCCGAACTTCAAAAATCTTAGGAAAATTGGTCTTGAAGCTTCAGATTCAGAGCCGACAGAGGAACAAATAGCCGAAGAAGTCGCTGAGCAGCCGAATCAGTCCACCTTGGACAGATCCGATAGTCTCGGGGAGGAGAGGTTGACGCGGCTCTAAATTTGGCTTTTGAGGAAGCCGGCTTGAACCGTCCATCCACTTCAGGCTGAGTAGATGTCTCGTTTGAAGATATTTTCACCGACTTAGGGGACCTTCCCGGCGCATATCCTGAAAACATGGCTGGGGAGTCGCTCACGCAGATGGCCAGGAGAAAAAACGCTGAGAGGATGGCTGCCTGGAGGAAGGCTGAAGCCGACCGATCTGAACCTCCACCCGTTGCTGGGACTGAGTCTTCTCCGCCTGCTTTTGTTGAAGAAACGGCGCAGATTGATACGGCCGAAACAGAGCACATTGTCGTTGATCAACAAGACAATCAGAAGGTTGAGCACAAGGGGGAAAAACGTTCTGTCGAGCACAAAGCCGACTCTTCAGAAAACCTAATTGATAAACGGCCGCGCATAGAGGAGTCAGACCTGGTTGTGCCGTTTATCATACAACCAAGGATAAAGAACGTGTTGGTTGCTTCTGATGCATCAGCTGTGAAAGATGCTGCCGTGGCCTTAAGTGTGGCCTCTTCAATTTCTCTGCCGGTTGACAGAGCAACCTTTTGCGCAGAGCTGAATTTGCTATCCATAGCATTAACCGCTCAATCGGCGAAATTGGTACATGACTTGAGCCTTGTTTGCAGTATTACGTATATATATATATATATATATTTTTGCCAGCTATCTTACTAATTCCTTATTTTGCAGGCGGCGGGCAGGATAGCTGAGATTGGCCGCCGTCAACATGACGCTATCGAACAAACCGGCTTTCTCACAACCGAAGTTGAAAATAAAAAGAGCAAGGCTACAGAGGCCTCTCTCAGAGCCGAGTCTGAGGCAATGAAAGCGGCAGAAGAATAAGCGAGGGTCGATGCCGAGGCAAAAAAGGTCAAGAGTTCCGACCAACTTAGGTTAGCCGCTGAAGAAAGGGCGAACGCGAGCAATGATGCGCTCAAGTTAGCCAAGGAGGTGATTGCCAAATTGGAGGCCGATTTGGAAGCATCGAAGAAGGTAAAGAAAATCGCCGACTCCGAGATTTTCAAGGCATTCCAAGCCAGGAAGGATGCCGCCTTAGAAAATTACGTGGAGGAAGTACCTAAGTTCGAGAATCGGGGCTTCAAACACGGCTGACTCAAAACTCTCGTTGCCGCTAATGTGACATTGGAACAGTCGATTCCATACAAGCAGGTGAACGTTAAGTCGCTAGAGTCTGACCCTGAAGATTGACTAGGGTCAAAGTAATTTTGATGTGTAGTTTTTATAGATTTTTGTTTATTTATTTCTATTAGACGTTAAATGTAGGATAATTTTCATATGTAAAATGATTACTATTTTTACTCAATTTATTAATGAAAATTGTCTTTGTCTTTCTGTCTGTATGCTGCATGTGCTAATTAACGGCTAAGTAAGATGATGCAAAATCATGAAATGAGTAAATTAATTCGGCGATAAAATAACTGTGCGTAGTTTCGCGATTTAGCCGAATAGATTAATGAATCTGCCCTTGCCGCAGCTAATGAATGAATGGAACCGTCGAATATCAGTAGTTTATTGATTGGTTGGGGCACACTAACTTATCGGCGGAAAATGATGAGGCTGGGCCGAATATATTAATGAATCTGCCTTTGCCCCAGTTGATTAATGAACGGAATCGCCAAATATCGGTAGTTTATGGATTGGCTGGGGCACATCCACTTAGCGGTGAAAAGCTTTGAAATTTAGCTGAATAGATTAATGAATATGCCCTTACCCCAATTGATTAATGAACGGAACCACCGAATGAATCTGCCCTTGCCCCAATTGATTAATGAACGGAACCGCCGAATATCGGTAGTTCATGGATTGGCTGGGGCATATCCACTCAGTGGCGCAAAGCTTTGAAATTTAGCCGAATAGATTAATGAATCTACCCTTGCCCCAGTTGATTAATGAACGGAACCGCCGAATATCGGTAGTTCATGGATTGGTTGGGGCACATCCACTTAGCGGCGCAAAGCTTTGAAATTTAGCCGAATAGATTAATGAATCTGCCCTTGCCTCAGTTGATTAATGAACGGAACCGCCAAATATCGGTAGTTCATGGATTGGCGCAAAATATTGAAGAGATCGCTTCGGGAATGCTGCACTCGTAATTAATAAGTGGGGTGGGGGCTGCGTGCACATAGGTTTCATTTTTATGTTCAGATTCAACTAATTGCGAGAGGGAAAAAAGCATTGTGTCGAACCAAGCTAGATGAATTTGGATGTCAAGAAGACTAT